AGTCGATTAACGGTCGCTGCAGTGGCTTCGTCGTTTAGGCGAAACTTATAATTAAAGTAAAAAAACAAAAACTGATAATATAGGATCTTATATGTGTGGTCATAACTTTTACTTAATATTAAAGGTGTGAAAACATGGACATAACATTTTTAACAAACAAAATACTACGAGTCATTTTATTAATGAAAATGGCCAGGGCAACGCAGGGTGAACGAAGGGGGGGGGGGGTAAATGTCATTGCAACTTATGAATAGAATGTGCGGAAATTAATATTGGAAAGCGTTCTCTTTGTATACACATGGACACGGATATATTTATTGTAATCTACCAATAACAAGGCATTTTAGGATCATCATCATCATCACCATCATCATCATTATCAGCCTAAACTAGTCCACTACTGGACATAGGCCTCTCCCATAGTACGCCACTGAGCACGATCCTCGGCCACTCTCATCCAACTCATTTTAGGATAATTTTTCGATATTGATTTGCATTTTTTTATGTTTATAACATATTCGGTGTCGACAACATATGACGTATTTACTTCTAGTAAATAACTGTGTATATTTTAAGCTTGTATCTACTGAGATTGAGAAAAGAATAAGAAGTTTAAAAATATGTTTCAGTAAAAATATTTTGTCATTGTATTTTAAATTATTGTATATATTTATTTTAATTCTACTTTAATTATAGTTTGCAATATTTCACAAAGCTACTGCAATATTAGTAAATTTATATACCAAGAGTTGTGAGGGACAAATAACAAACGCCTAGCGTTGCCTATACTATAGCAAATAACTCGCTGCGACATGATACATGGTGTTTCGTTATTGAATGTGTATTGTTTTTTACTACACTGTTTTATTGAAATTACATTTTAACATTTTTGAATGTATAATAAATATCAAAACTAAGCAATTACAGTATATTCCTATTTCTCTATAAAAAAAAAAATAAGTATTTATTTTCGTTAACTTTTTTTAAACGACCTGTGGATATATTAAAAAGTTTAAATGTTTATTATTATCATGTCTATTTTAAAATAAACACTATGTAAAAAAGAAAAATATAAACATCTTTTTCCTTGTCCTGTATTTAAACAATTTGTACATAATGTTATTATATTATCGTCCCGAGCTATTTAATTAAGTCTCTCATAATTTAAATTAAAAAGCTGGAACGGCGCAATAAATTACAGCGAAAGCTTTATAAGAGTTGCTGCATTGAATAAAAACAAATGCTTGTTCATAATAACTTTGTTTTCCCTCTATCTTAATAGGATATTACTACGCGTGAACAACAACATGACACTGTGGAAGTAAAATATCGCAATTTTAACACATTTCTTTCGTTCTAGGCAAATACTTAGTATTAAACTAGCTGTCCACGCTTAGCCTATGTGTTCTTCCAGACTAGGTTCTACACCAAATTACATCCAGATCCATTTTGCCATTCTTCAGATACCAAGAAACAATCTTCAATCCATCTATCCATCCACACATCTGCATTTATAATATTAGTAAGATGTAGTACAATATCAGGAGAATAACAAGCAGTAAAAAATGTAGAGATCAAATAACTTATGTCCATTACTTAACGTCATCATTCCAAAAGTTACGATTTCACATAAATACGAGAAACTATTCTAGTAAATAATGAAACTTTCTTCACCTCCTACATGCCAATATCAATTATTTGAGAAATGCTCAAAATAGAGCTTAATTGACACTAAAAGTATTAAAAGTTAGACGTCGACTTAAGTTAGTGAGGTCGACTGCGACTCAGCAGTTTTCGAGTAATTTCAAAGTCTGTATGTAGTTGCAGTTCTAGAGCTCGAAATATTTGCAATAAATCAATATTATTACATAAAGCGCCCGCCCACGACTGCCTCACGTATGCGCAGGCTTTCAAATTTATTGACGTCACTGCTTTTAATCTTGATTCAGCATTTCCACTCGGATATTTGTTTCCACGTGCTCGATATTTATAAATGCAAAGATATTTTAGTATTTAGATACGTAGGTCAATCAATATTTATTGGATTCAACAAGAACTCAATCTAACAATTGTAAACCGTAGCATAAAGAATTTAAAGTAAAAAGTTCAAATTAGACTATAGCCTTTCCGACGCCTGTAAAACACATCCGCAAACCGGATCAGAACCAAACGAAACTAAGGTAAAAGCTGCGAAAACGAATGGAAAATGTAACGGAGATTTTGCTCCACATAAGGTTTGGTTACGCACTGTTATCCTACCTAGTAAATAGTTCATGAAAAAAACATTCAAGACTTACATGAAAATTGAGTTCGTTTCACTCTCGGTACGCTTTTTAATCTAATAAGGTAGAAATAAGGTTATATACAGTTCTACAAATAACTCTTCATCATAATTAAATCATTATTTAATATATAATAGAAATCTGTCAGTAAAAAGTTTTAAGTTATATGTGATTAAATGTATTTGTTAATTCAAAATACGTAATCAAAACCTGACTTCCATAAAACGATGATTTTTCAATTACCGGGGTAGTCGCGGTAAATTCAAGCGCGCTTAAGTCACCTTGACAGGCACGCCGGCGAGGAAAAAGCCCTTTAAGACTCTGTCACAATCTTTGTACAACAAAAGGACACTTGAATTACAAAACTTTAAACGGAAGCTCGCAAAACTTTAACGTGATTTTTTGCCAAACTTTTTAATATTAATTATAAAAAAAATTAAAGTCTTAATGCATTTTAATTCAACAAAATTAAAAATAAAATAAAAAATACTTTTAAGAAGTGAGTCAAATTAAAATATTTTTAAAGTAATAAAATTATATCGAGAAAAAAAATTGGCAATAAAAAGTTATATTAGAACTATCCTTGACTGAACTCTGAGTACGTCCGTATACTTATATTTATGTTATGTAGAAGCGACAGAGGTGTGTCCGGAGCGCTGTAAATAGAAGTCTACATGACCTTTATAGGTTACGGTTCGAATTCAAATTTAAACAATAATTAATTAGCTAAAAGTAGAATCTAGAACCACTAGGAGCCCCGCCCCAAGTTTTAAGGGTTGCCACCATTATGTCCCTTGACAATATCTAACATGGGTTAATTTAAATTATAAAACCACGTAACTTTTAATATCCAATAAACATATTATATATGATATAGAAGTTTATAAGTAAAGTTGTATTCAACGATGTTAATAACCAATCCCAGTTATATATATACAATTTACGTTTTAAGTTACGAATAATTTTTGAAGACAAACTTAGAACCAAGGTAGGTCATGAGAAATGATTCACCTATTATACTAAATATATACATTTAGTATATTTTAACAAATATATTATACCATTCACTGTTGTCCAAAGTTTCTCCTGCGCAGATCATGCGCATTTGATAGCTGCGCGAATTTCGACTTTATCAGGCATTAAAATTAAGAAACTTTTATCAGCTTATTAAAGTTGTTTTGCATGTAACTTTTACTCGAGTACATGATAAAAAAGTTTGTTTATAACTAAATAATAAAAATTTATATTATTTATTGTAATATAATGATATTAAAGTTTACTTACGTAAAAGAAAAAGCGTTGTCCATTTATTAATTACCTCTATAGGTAAGAGTTCTATAACTCTTGTCAAAGCTTTCGCGTAGCGCGTAGCAGCGTCACCTGTAGAGTCGGTATTTTTTCACATTCCGCGCGTTCTACGGCGTAGA